GGCCAAAGCTCTCTTCGGTTCCTAAACCAAAGCTTTCTTCGGTTCCAACGAACACTCGCCGTTTCCAAAACGTATGCCTATCACTTTTTGGTTTTAAAACTGAAAATAGACAAGCGATAATGGTGTTACTCCTCAGGGATTCAGCTTTTGTCGATTTCTTTTCTTTCATTGAATCTCTCAATGTTGCTGATCTCGCTTTCCAGAGATGCACACGATTCATGTCCAGAGATTCATGTCGTTTCAACACCCCGTCCCTCGGGGGATCTCTTCCCAGCTCTCTTTCTGAATTCTTCATCCTGAAATCCACCAGTTTATGTTATTCTTTCTGAAGCTAGACTTAAGCTTTGAATTAGTATCTTGCATTTTTTCTCTTTTATTTCTACTTTCTCTTTTCAACTTTCCAAATTTCTTGGCCAAAAACGCTTTCTTGTAAGCTGACACCACTTTGGGTAGAGCTATCGTTATAGCAAACTGTCAAAACTAAAAATTTACAGCTTTTCTGACGTTTTGTTAGGCATTAGTTTTTCAAAGTTTGCTTTTCTGATTTCCTAAATTGTTCTAATCAATGATACTTGTTTAGAATGAAAGTTTAAAGTAAGTTAAAGTAAGTTAAAGTAAATCTTGATAACTATCGATCTATCTTTACAAGAAAGAAGCTATAAATCTATCAAAAAACCGTTCTTCTTTAACTAGTTTAGCTTTTCAATTTATTCAATTCATTCAATTCATTCTTTCAATTCAAACTACTCCAAATTGTTGTGATTTTCAGTAAAATTGAATCCAATAAGTAGTTCAAGCAAGTCGAACAAGAGGAAGTGACCGTGTTTCGAAGTCGAACAAGAGGAAGTGACCAAAATGAGGGAAATGCCATTTCCTTTGGGATTTCTAGTAAGCAGGGAAAGCAGGGAATGGTACGGACTGACAAGGGAAAGCTGAAGAACTGAGGCCGGCAGAGGAGAACCCCGAAAATCAGATTAGGCCACCTTTTCCCCCAATGGAGAGTAGACATTAGCGCCTCTTCACTCACTCCTTCACACACAAAGATGGCCTCTAACCTTTTTGTTGGGTCGAAAGGATTCCCATACATCAACTCTGGCACTTCTTCAGCAACTTTGCTTTTTCATTTGTAGTCATTTTATCGATGAGTAAGTGTAATTTCTAGTTTTTAACCAACATCCGCACTCAGGCATGTCAGTCAAGCTATTCCAGCTCAAGCTCAGCTCAGCTTCCAGTTCAAGCTCAGCTCAGCTTCCAGCTCAAGCTCAGCTCAGCTTCCAGCTCAAGCTCAGCTCAGCTTCCAGTTCAAGCTCAGCTCAGCTTCCAGTTCAAGCTCAGCTCAGCTTCCAGTTCAAGCTCAGCTCAGCTTCCAGCCTGAGCACTTTGAACCACTCAATTTCCTGTAATCTAACTCAAATTTCTAAACTTTTAGTACTAGGAATTCTTTGTTGTCTTAAAAAAAGCATCAATAAACCAAAATATTTGTGAGCAACTTGTTCTTGAATTTGAAAATCTTGGCTAACAGCTGGCTAACAAGGGACTGATCATCCTTTAATCATTTTGTAAAGGAATTGCATCTTTGTTGATTGATATGTAAAGAAGAGTTTAATGATGTCGGATTGATGACAGGTATTTTATAAATTTACTGGATAAAGTGTAGAAAACTATGCAAAATTGCATTTGTTTTTTTTTTTTTTTTATGGATAAAAACTTTTTAAAAAAAAAAAAAAAAAAATAAAAAAAAAAAAAAAAAAATTTTTTTTTGGAATGGGAAAAAAAAAAGGGGGGGGAAAAGAAAAAAGAAAGGGATTTTTTTTTTTTTTTATATTTTTTTTAGTGAAAAAAAAAAAAAAAAAAAAAAAAAAAAAAAAAAAAAAAAAAAAAAATTTTTTTATTTTTTTTTTTTTTAAAAAAAAAAAAAAAAAATTTTATTTTTTTTTAAAAAAAAAAATAAAAAATATTTAAAATATTAAAAAATTATTTTTTTTTTTTTTTTTTTAAAATTTTTTTTTTTTTTTTTTTTTAAAAAAAAAATTTTTTTTTTAATTTTTTTTAAATTTTTTTTTTTTTTTTGTTTTTTTTTTTATATATTAAAAAAAAAAAAAAAAAAAAAAAAAAAAAAAAAAAAGGGGAAAGGGGTGGTTGAGGGGGGGAAAAGGGGGGAGAAGGGGAAGGGGGGGGGGTTTTTTGAGTTTTTTTTTATATTTTAAATGTTTTTGGAAAAAAAAAAAAAATAAAAAAAAAATTAATATAAAAATTTTTTTTTATTTTTTTTTTTTTTTTAAAGTAAAATAAAAATAAAAAAAATTTTTTTTAAAAAAAAAAAAAAAAAAAAAAAAAATAAAAAAATTTTTTTTTTTTTTTTTTTTTTTGTGTTTTTTTTTTTTTTTTTTTTATTTTTTTTTTTTTTTTGCTAATGAAAAAATTGGATTCCTCAAGGAAAAAAAAAAGCCTTTCCCTGTTTTTTTAGCCAATAATAATGCCTTTTTTTAGCTTCTAACCATCAAGTTTCTTATTTTTTTACTTTATGAAGAAGTTCTTCCAAAATTAGTGGGTCGAATCATCAAATTTCCCTCTAACTTTCCCGTTCCCTTTCGAGAAGTCATAAATCGAGTTCGTTTGGGGAAAAATTTTCGATTTCCTTTTCTTTTGGACTAAATTTTCATTCATTTTGTTTCTAGAATAGGAAATAAGCCAAGAAATTGAGCCAATTTTTGCAAAAAACTTGGTTTAGTGAATTCAAAACAAGAAGTGAATCACTGTGATAAGAAAAACAGGATTCGGAAGGCTTAAAGCTTACATTTCTAGCTATTCTAAGCTATTCTAAGCTATTCTAAGCTAATCTAAGCTATTATAAGCTCTTCCAGAAAGCGATTCTAAGCATTTAGAGCATTTCTAAGCTATTCCAAGCTATTCTAAGCTATTCTCAGCTATTCTAAGCTATTCTAAGCTATTCTAAGCTCTTCCAGAAAAACCAGAAAGCTATTCTAAGCTATTCTAAGCTATTTTAAGCCATTCTAAGCTATTCTAAGCTCTTCCAGAGAAGCCAGAAAGCTATTCTAAGCTATTCTAAGCTATTCTAAGCTATTCTAAGTTATTCTAAGCTATTCTAAGCTCTTCCAGAAAAGCCAGAAAGCTATACTAAGCTCTTCTAAGCTCTTCTAAGCTATTCTAAGCTATTTGAAGCTCTTCCAGAGAAGCCAGAAAGCTATTCTAAGCTATTCTAAGCTATTCTAAGCTCTTCTAAGCTATTCTAAGCTATTCTAAGCTATTCTAAGCTATTCTAAGCTATTCTAAGCTCTTCCAGAGAAGCCAGAAAGCTATTCTAAGCTATTCTAAGCTATTCTAAGCTCTTCTAAGCTATTCTAAGCTATTCTAAGCTATTCTAAGCTATTCTAAGCTATTCTAAGCTCTTCCAGAGAAGCCAGAAAGCTATTCTAAGCTATTCTAAGCTATTCTAAGCTCTTCTAAGCTATTCTAAGCTATTTGAAGCTCTTCCAGAGAAGCCAGAAAGCTATTCTAAGCTTTCTAAACCTTTCTGCATATCTGAATGACAATTTGACTAAGAAATATCAAAATTTTAACTAAAATCTTCAAATTTCGCCACTTCCTCCTTTCTTTTCTGAATCTATTTGAGTCTCAAGGAAATTTGCATAAGCTCTCGGCATCTTAACGGGTTTTTTTTTCTATGAGAAAAGGTCTTTTTACCTTTTTTTCTCTAAGAAAAGCTTTGCCAATTCATGGGAATTCTCGGCTCAACCCCAGAGAAAAGCTTTTGAAAAAAAAGGGAAACTTAAAAATGGAATCCTTAACTTTAAAGTCAATTTTTTCATTTGCTCTAAATAAAAAGTGTTTATTGTTGAATTTTCGATCTTTTTAAGTCAATTTGGGTTCACTTTCAAGCAAATTCGATAGTGTTTTTCGTATTTTTCGCAAAAAATCGATAAAAACCTCTACGAAGAAGTTGGCCGAATGAATTTCTCTGAAAATTTGGCTATATGTCAAGCATTTTTTGCTCTTTCTTTTATCTATTGACACGAAGATGGGTTTCTTTGGCTCAAAGTGCCTAAACCGTAAGCCGTAAGTCGTTTTTGCCGCAAATTCGAGGTTGAAATCGATATTTTTCTCAAAAATCTATAAAAACCTCTACGAAGAAATTGGCTGAATGAATTTCGCTGAAAATTTGGCTATATACCTAACTTTTTGTGCTCTATCTTTTATCTATTGACACAAAGATAGGTTTCTTTGCATCAAAGTGTCTAAACTGAATCATCGAGTCGACCTTTTGACTATCCGACTTTATGCTCCAAAAAAACAGGCCTTGAAAATAGAATATTCTTGAGTTCTGGAGGGCATAGTGGCTCGTCAATTCGTCAATTTTTCGTCAATTATCTGCGAAATAGAGAACAGTTTCTAATAGAAGGATTAAGGATCAAAATCGAATTGACTATCCGACTTTATGCTCCGAAAAAATCCCGAAATTAGACATTTTAAACCCGTTTTAATGTTATTTTGCAGAAAAATAATTGCATTTTCTAAAGAATTTCTCGTTGAATTGGTGAATTTGTTGGTTTTAAGGACGTTCTTTTCGTCCTTCAGATCGATTCATCATCTCAGAGTTGAGTTACACCCGTACCGATATCTCAGAGTTGAGTTACACCCCCAACTCTAAACACTAAAAACTCCCTTTTCCCGTTTTACGGAAATGCCGATTTATAGCAATTAAAGTGCTCGAATCGGGTTAGTTTTTTTTTTGAAAGAAAGCAAAATATCAGGGCATCCTTTAATACCAAGATAATAGAGCAAACGGCTTATGGATCTTGGCGAGATCGAGCTCGAAAGTTAGATCTTTGTCGTAAAAATGATTTGACTAAAAGAAAAGGAACGAAATTCAACTTAATAGTACAAAGATCAAAATCTTTTCAAATTTCTATAACAAATCTTTATAAATCTTCACCTTTCACCACTAAAACAAGCTAAAAATCTCGAGGGAATTGTGAGAAATGCGAACATCAACAAGGAGATGGAGAAGTGAAAGAGGAAGGGTCGATCTCCCGAAATTGGCAACGAATAGAGCTATTTTGTGAGAGGATTTCGATGGAGAAATGGAAAAAATGAAGAAAAAAAAGGATAAATATGGAGGAGATAAAGGGGAAAAGAAAAGAAGAACGACTTCTCCCGATGCTTGAATGCAGAACCTCTTCTTCCTCCTTTCACTTCCCTTTTCAACTCATCCTCACCCTCACACTTTGTTTTTTTTGGACTCGGAACAATGACATTAGACGAAGTACCCAATCTTTTTAGTCTTAAAAATCTGAACTAGGTTGAACTTTCATAACATCAATTCTGTTAGCTTTATCTTTGACTCTTGAATACTGCTCATCATCTGTAGTTGGCAGAGTTTGGTTCTAAAGATTTGGCGTATTCAGGTACATGGATTTAGAGCTGAATCCGGGCTTAGATCTTAATCTGGGCCTGGAGCTGGATCTGGAGCTTGGTTTTGAGCTGAGTCTGGAGCTGAACCTTGAGTTGGGCCTGGAGCTAGGCCTGGAGCTGGGTCTGGAGCTGGGCTTGGAGCTAGGCCTGGAGTTGGGCCTGAAGTTGGGTCTGGAGCTAGGCCTGGAGCTGAGCCTGAAGTTGGGCCTGGAGCTAGGCCTGGAGCCGAGCCTGGAGTTGGGTCTGGAGCTGGGCTTGGAGCTGAGCCTGGAGTTGGGTCTGGAGCTTGGCTTTGAGCTGAGTCTGGAGCTGGGTCTGGAGCCTGGAGCTAGGCCTGGAGCTGGGTCTGGAGCTGGGCTTGGAGCTGAGCCTGGAGTTGGGTCTGGAGCTAGGCCTGGAGCTGAGCCTGAAGTTGGGCCTGGAGCTAGGCCTGGAGCCGAGCCTGGAGTTGGGTCTGGAGCTGGATCTGGAGCTTGGTTTTGAGCTGAGTCTGGAGCTGAACCTGGAGTTGGGCCTGGAGCTAGGCCTGGAGCTGGGTCTGGAGCTGGGCTTGGAGCTGAGCCTGGAGTTGGGTCTGGAGCTTGGTTTTGAGCTGAGCCTGGAGTTGGGCCTGGAGCTGGGCTTGGAGTTGAGCCTGGAGCTGTAAACCAGAGCAGTTCTGGACCTAAACCAGTTCTAGACTTGATTTCTAAACGATTACTGAGAGATCTGGTCTAGCTTATAGGTTATAACATCCCTGAATCCATCGGAATTAAATCCGCTTTAACCTCACTGATCTATCAGATAGACCAATTGTGCCAGAATGGGTATGTTTAAAGGTTTGTTTGCGCACAAAGCATTAAAAAGTACAGTTAAATCTAGAAATTGAAAATCTAGAAACTAGAAATCAACTAAATCTAGAAATTGTAGCTCAATATCAAACTTTTCTTATTCAAATCGAGCTTCCCTTTTTTTTGCGTACTTCCTCCGCTTTTCTCGTCAACGAGCTCATTTACAAGTGTTCTGAAGTCTTTCTCTTTCTTTTCTTTCCCTTTCTTTCTCTTTCTTTCTCTTTCTTTCTCTTTCTTTTCCTTTCTCTAGGGGGTGATTAATCACTCATCCCTATCCGCATATGAATAGCCTCTTCTCACACATCCCATTCACTTTCCCCCTTTCCTTTCCTCACTTTTTAACTCCAACGACAACCAAAACGCTTTTTGCGTTTACTATTGAAATTTCTAAATGTTAATTAGTAAAACGAATACTATATAAAGATAAAGTCTGAAAGTGAAAAAAGAATGAATCAGTTTATAAGTTGATCCATTCACTGCCAGTGAAACAAAGGATTGATGGCTGAATGATGTTGACCAAGATCAATTATATAAGCAAATCACTAGCTGTGAATAATCTGTGAATCAGCTGTGAAAGCTCGATCTGTGAATCGATTTGTGGAAATCTGTCAATCCAATTTTCTTACTTACTTATACTTTCTCAGCTTTATTTGAATTTCTTTCTTGTCTTCCTTTTCCTAAAGAAAGAACGATTGACGCAATCGTTCTTGTCAAAAAAAAAAGTCTTTCTTGTCGTTTCCTTGTCGAGATGAGCGCTTATAAAAACATTTCAGTGTAATAGAGAAACATTTTTTTCGATTTGAAAGAGATAGGCTTCATAACTTTAAATGAAAGCGAGCTTTAATAAAAGCCTCAATGTTGGCCTCAATGTTGAGTGAGTTTTGTGTGGAGTTGGTCCCAAAGGATTGTCAAAAGAGAGAAATGGGGGAAAGGGGGATGTAATCGAGTTTTGACACACACTTCTCCCCAAAGAGGATCTCGGGGAAGGTTGAACTTCTTTCGAAAATCCTCGAAATAGACTGAGATTCTGATGGGTTACCTGGTTCGTTAAAATAGCTTTATCAACTCTTTCTTTAGCCTATAACATACCTACACAACCTATAATAAACCAGGTAACCCACCTGGTTCGTTAAAATAGCTTTATCATCTTTGTTTTGTTCAAATAGCTTTATCAACTCTTTCTTTAGCCTATAAGCCTTTCGAAAATCTCTTTAATTCTTTGTTTTTTCTTTTACAATCAATCTAAAACCTTTGTTATTTTCATTTTCAAATTCAAAAGCTCAATTTGCATATTTTGTCGTGAATTTAAATGCAAATTTGTTCCTTTTCCTTTCAATTATTTCTTTTCTTTGTTTAGTTTTTTCTTTGTTTTGTCTTCCCAATCATTATCTACAATATTTTCAGATAAATCTCCAAAAAACATCATGTGAACAATGATGCGGACAAGAAAACGGCTCTTTTCCTCAATATTTGAAGAAATTCTATTATTATTCTTCTTGATTCTAGTCAATAGAACATGGTAAACAATGCTTTTTCGATTTTGGAATCAATTTTTCGTTTCAGTTGTGCCGATATTCGCTCAGTGAACACGGGTTGGGGCATTCTCCGAGGAGAAGTGGTTGGTTTTTTGGAAAGGAGTGAGCCAGGATTAGACATTTATTTACATGAATAATTTGGTAAAAACAAGTAGCCACAAGTAGCCATAAGCCCTGAATTTAAGGAAAAAACCTATATGCAAAAAAAAAAACCATTAATCTGACGGGCGGGATTGAACCCTTGACCTCCCGACTGGGATACAGGCTCTTAGCCAGTCGGCTATGTCGGCCGCCTGTCCCGACTTTGAACTTTCGATTTAAATACGTTTGTGTGTATTTTATGTGTGAAAAGCAGTTTTTATTGCGATATTTATCTGCCCGCATCAAGTATCAAGCGATCTTGCGATCCCCTGACCACATGTCGTCGTGGCCGAGTGGTTAGTGCGCTAGGCTCTAAAACTCAACTCGGGCTCTTTGTCCCTAGTTCGAGCCCGGATCGAGGTAAAATTTTGATTTTTGTAAAAATTTTCCTGTTAAAGTCATAAATGTGAATATTCACCGCATAGCAATATTAATTTAGACAGTAATTTATTAATGTAAACAGTAATTTTATGTAGTTTAAGTTTGGACAATTTGGACAAACAGGTATGCTAGAAGCCGCGCGATTACGTGTTCCGGTTCTAAACGATTGCCACAAAAACATAGATTCATGTGAAATGTCTATGTCGGTTGATTTGCTTATAGATTATAGATGCTTATAGATTTGTAGACAATAGATTTATCCAAAACAAAGTTACAACAATAATAAGTTTTGGAAATCGCTTTTGCAAAGAGCAAAAGTCCCAAGTGCACTCAGCGCTCGAACCACTCGTTCTCTAGGTTCAAAAGTTGAGAGTCTAGCGCACTAACCACTTGGCCACAACGACATATTTCTGAGCTTGCTTGATTGCTTGATAAGATTGCTTGATGCTCGTCGGTTGGATAAATCACACAACACGAAAAACTTGCTTTTTTACACTCAAACTTCAAACAGATTTAAATGGAAAATTTGAATCCATTACATAAAAACGACTTAGATATTCGGAATCAGCGAAAAATTTGCTACAAAATAGGCTAGTTTCCACTGCAAAATTCGGTGGTAAACAAAGAACCATCCTTAGTTAGATCAGCCAGAGCCTGAGCTAAACCTGGCTCAAGTCTTGGACCCAGGTTTAGCCAGAAGCCGGTTAAACCCTGACTTTCTGCTTTGGCTTTGGTGCTTTGGTTCAGAATTTGATTACAACAAATCTAACCATTCAAAAATGATAGCAAAAGCTTGATCTCTTATCCTTTTCTTCTAGGTGAGCCCAGGAACCGAGGATTTACCCCCAGTCGCTCAATATTTGGGTGTACCCTATGGAGTGGCACCTACAGGACAGGTAATTCTAGTAAAAAGATCCAGGTTACTGTAGATTTTCTTTAGAACTTCTTTAGAACTTTAGAACTTACTCAAGCATATCTGCTCATTTTCAGTATCGTTTCAATATGGCCATCTCTGCCGCAAAATGGACTAATGCTGCGAAAGATGCGCGGCAATTGGGATCAGTTTGTACCCAAGCCGGCCTGCCTGAGCTCAGTGTTAACAAGTAAATTTCAGAAATTCAATTCTTTTCATTCAGTTTCTAGGGCATTTGAGTACACTTCGGCTCAAAAATTCGACTACATTCACAAATTGTTGCCGAGGTTGAAACAACAATCTGAGGACTGTCTTTATTTGAATTTGTATGTCCCGGAGAGATTGGGTGAGAGCTTTAAAGCCAGACAAAGTTTTAAAACTTTGTACTGAAATTTTACGACCTATTTTTAGAAGTGACAATCAAGGAGACTCTTTTGCCTGTTCTTGTCATCGTTCATGGTGATGATTATGGATGGAACTCTGGCAATCCCTACAATGGTACAATTCTTGCAGCTCATGGACAAATCATTGTCATCACGTTGAATTATCGATTGGGAGTCTTTGGTAATCAAAAAGATTCAATCTCAGTTTAGCAATTGTACAGGATTTCTCGGCCGGTGTGAGTCGAGCTCTTGTCAAGGCAATTCGGGGATCTCGGATCTTGTCTCGGCGTTGAAAATGTTGAGTGGAATCTTGCCGGCTTTTGGGGGAGATCCCAGAGCTGTTACATTGCTGGGTTAGTCTTTAAATAGTGCTTAAAAAGCTCTTTTGGTAGGCTGAATCAGACTGACAGACTGAATCAGACTGACGAACTGAATCAGACTGACTGACGGAATCCGACGACAGACTGACTCAGACTGCAAGACTGAATCAGACTGACAGACTGAATCAGACTGACAGACTGAATCAGGCTGACAGACGGAATCAGGCTGACAGACTGAATCAGACTGACAGACTGAATCTGACTGTTGAAACAGACTGACTGTCTGCCATCAACAATAATCCAATTCCAGGTTGGGGTTCCGGTGCCTCGCTTGTCTCTCTATTGATGGCCTCTCCATTGACTCAACCCTCTCGTCGTCTCTTCCAACGGGCAATTCTCCTTGATGGAACAGCTTTAGCACCATGGGCAATCACCACCAATCCACAGCCATTCTTCATGCAATTGGGAGAGAAATTGGGGGTTAGTTTGTGGTGTTGTTATTAGGAATAAGTCTTTCTTTTTCTGCCTTTTCTGCCTTCAAATAGGCTAGTTGTTGTTGAATACAAACACTGTCAGAACCTTTCAGTTGTTTGTAAAACTCTCAAAACTCTCTCAGAACTGAAATAGCTACAAGATTTCAGTGCGCCTCAAAGAACGCCTCTTCTCAATTCAATTCAGGCGTTGAAGGGATTGTGAGGTGTATGCAGGTAAATCCATTGCTTTTCTGGTGCCTAATCTTTGTATCAAAGATCTTTAATAGTCTAGAAACCTCAAATTTCAGGAGAAACCACCAGAAGCCGTCTCGAAAGCAGCTCAAAAGATCGAAGTGCCGACTTTTCTCTCGGCATTCGCTCCGATTGTTGATGGACAGGTGAAAAGCTATGCTGCTGTATGCTGTAAAGTTAGCTAGCTAAAAATCAGTCAACTAGGCTTTTCTAGATCTTGGTTTATCTAAAATCAATATCAATCATGAAGAAATATTTCAGTTGATTCCCAATCGTCCAAAAGTCTCCTTCTCCTCCGAGTTTGGTTCTCTATTCAGAGAGATCGATCTCCTCGTTGGCACCACCACTCATCCAGCTCATCAATTTCTCTCAAATGAGGATCTCAAGAATGGATTAAGTGCTGAGAAAAGGGAAAAGATATTCAGGTAAGACTCAGACTTCAGATTTAGATATTCAAAAATTATCTACCGTAAATACTATAGTATCCCACCCCCAAAATGACGGCGCGGAGTGTTGTGTAGTCTAGCTTTGAACGAGTTTTTCTCGACACTGGTTTATGCTACAATGCGCAATTAGGTATCAACTTTTAGCACTTAAAAGTTGTAGAACTTTTAGCTTTATGATTTTATGGTTAAAGAATGGTCCAAACCAAAAGCTAAACTAGGGAAAGACCCTAGTTTAACTTTTGATCCTGGCTTAGACAGAAATTTGGTTTTAGAATAGCTTTGGGCAGATGTTCTGGCTCCGTCAGGCTCCTGGCTAGATCCTGATCAAGGTTCTAGCCTAGCTAAGATCCTATCTTACCAAGATTTTGGCTAAATCTTAGCTTGGTCATAGTCTGGGAAGGTTCTGGACTGATTTCTAGCTGTTGTTTGTTTTTATGCAAACCAGGGCAAGTCAATGCACCCAATTCTTTGAGCCTAAGCCTGAGTCTGAGCAGAGCCTAAGCATAAGCCTAAGCCTAAGCCTCAGCCTAAGCTTAAGCCTAAGCCTGAGCCTGAGCCTGAGCCTGAACCTGAGCCTAAGCCTGAGCCTAAGCCTAAGCCTAAGCCTAAGCATGAGCCTGAGCAGAGCCTAACAAATCTCAAAGAACCCAAGTTCAATTACTAATCTACTGTACTATGAAAGGCCAAAGTACTCTGACTATAACTTTTCACATATAATAGCTACCGTAAATACTGTAGTACCCCACCCCGATAATGACGGTGCGGAGTGTTGCGTAGTCTAGCTTTGAACGAGTGTTTCTCGACACTGGTTTATGCTACAATGCTACAATAGGTATCAAAAGATAGCTGAAATTCAGGGCTATTTTTTGATACCAAAGACGCATTTTTTGAAAGTAAGGGCGCTTTGAAAAAAATGAAGTACTAAAAAACTCTTGCGACTACGCGACTGTACGAGGGGGATGGGGTACTATTACAATATTTACGGTATTTATTGTTTAGAACCCTTGTCCGGAATCTCTACGATTTCCATCGATCCGAGATTTACGCGTCGATCGTCAACGAGTACACCGATTGGGACAATCCACAAGTGATTTGAAAAAGAACGTCAAGAATGTCAATCTCAAACTTTAGAACAATCCAAAAACGATTAGAAACGGTGTTCTGGGTGCACTGTCTGATGTTCTTTACAATGCGCCGTTAGTGGAAACACTTCGAATGCATTCTTCTGATGATGTTAGAGCACAGGGGAAGACATTTATGTGAGTGGCTTTAGAGCAATGAATAGGAAAATGGCTCTAGCTTGGTATCGATTTGGGATAGTGCAGAAACATCACCTTGAAATTCTAAGGGATACCTGTTTTTCAGTTTTACTGTCTCCTCTATCTCCAGACTAATGTACCAGATCCACTTTCTCCTAAGTGGATAAATAAATAGTGGCTTTTTCTCTTTCCCTGGACTCACTAGAGAACTGCTTCAACTTTTCATCGATTTTGGATCGATGTGAAGGCTGATCTTCTTTTGTGGTTACTTCCAGCTACTTCCAGTAGCCCTATTTAGCTTCTTACTGTTTATAGAGACTTTAAAACCCTTAAAAATTGATTTTAGTGGTTTAGCAAAAAAGAAAAAAGCTTGACAGCTAGGGGAAACAGTAAGAAGCTAAATAGGGCTACTGGAAGTAGCTGGAAGCAACCACAAAAGAAGATCAGCCTTCACATCGATCCAAAATCGATGAAAAGTTGAAGCAGTTCTCTAGTGAGTCCAGGGAAAGAGAAAAAGCCACTATTTATTTATCCACTTAGGAGAAAGTGGATCTGGTACATTAGTCTGGAGATTTTATCCGAGAAATTCTTTTCAGCCGGTTTAATTACCCAAGTTTACGTGTTGGTTGTAGAAAAAATGGGAATTGTCACATAGAAAGTTGTAGAAGCTGTTTGATTTCACAGCCGGGAACGTTAGTTCGGGTGGGTGGGGACGTATTTCACATTCATTCGGGCAACAGAGTTGGGTGGGTGGGCTAAAAACCCTGTAAGCTTAAAACTAGTTCAAAAATGAGTTAAGCTAGCCATTTGATTTCGGTTTACTTACCCGAATTTAGAATTTGTTAAATTCTTTAACTCTAGCCATTGCTCTTTATTGTTTTTTTTTGTTTTCAGGTTCGTTTTTGGTCACGAGACTCGTTCGTGGAATTCGGAGCAGCCAAATTCAGGAGTTCGCGGGTCATTGAGTGGAGATCATATTCCCTATATTCTTGGATATCCTTTAATGAAAGGAGACAAGGAGAATCGAGTAAGTGAATGGAATCATCTGGAAAAGTTCAACAATTTGTGCTCTTTCTCTAGTTCTATTGCAATAAGACATTCAGTAAGGTAAAGAGTTAGCAATTTGTAGATTTTTTGGGCTCCATCGAATTGGACTTCAATCATTTAGTTGTTTTTAGTTATACGATGGTTTTTCAATGGAGGACAAGGGTCTTTCTAGAGTCATGATGCATTATTTATCGAATTTTGTCAAATCTGGGCAAGTTTTTAGCAAAATAACCAAATTCTCTGTTCAGAGACCCATCAAAACCCTATGCAATGCCAAAAATGACGGCAACAGAGGAGAAATTTCATTCAATCGCTTGGCCACAATTCAATCAACCGAATCGAGAGGCTTATCTCGAAATCAGTAAGGATTTTTATCATTTAAAGCTCAGAACTTCTTTACAGCTGATCGTCCTCGGATAAAGAACTACTACAGAAACGCGCAAGTCGGCTTTTGGACAGGATTAGTGCCTCAATTGCAGCATGCGGGCAAGGAAGGAGCTGGGATTCCGAATGTGAGCTATGAACGCTAATGCTATGAACGCTATGAATGTTATGAACGCTAATGCTATGAAAGATCAAAGAAACTAAAACAACTAAAAGAATGATTTAGGAACATCACTTGTTGCCAAAACATTTTGCAAAGGAAACATTTTTCGGCAGGGTTCGTCCTTATGGCCCATTCGCGAATGAGCCTTTCCCTCCACCTCCAATGCCTCCATCACCCCCGCCAAAGGATATTAAGAAACCGACAAGTGAGAGAAATTCAAATCTAAAACCAAAACCAACAATCAAACAAAAGCAGAGAAAGCAGAAATTCTGACAAAGCAGAGATTCTGAGAAAGCAGAGCTTCTTGAGAAAGCAGAGCTTCTGAGAAAGCAGAGATTCTGAGCTTTTGTCAGAATCTCTGCTTTGTCAGAATCTGGCAGAGCTTCTTGAGAAAGCAGAGCTTCTTGATTTATCAATTTTGTAACCGTTCAACTCAAAAATCCGTTTCTTTAGCCGCTTCTTTCCCCGAGACAACACCATCGAGCTCAGCTGTGCCTGTCACTGGTGCCTATTATGGAACCTATTTAACATACATTATCGCTATTGGAACTGGAATGTTATTACTGAATATTTGCGTGCTTATCATGATTTGTCGACAGGTTTTAAATTGGATAAGCGATCAAATTAAGCTCTTTATTTTTAGTGTGATAAGACGAGGAACTCGAAGAAGAAACTCCAGCTACAGTATCAGACGTATGCCTCGAATCACCATGCTCCGACAGGAGATATGAATTTTGGACTCAATTCACCGGTAATTTGAAAAGAAACAGGGTACTCTGGAGTACTCTGGAGTACTCTGGAGTACTCTGGAGTATTCTGGAGTATTCTGGAGTATTCTGGAGTACTCTGGAGTACTCTGGGGTATTCTAGAGTACTCTGGAGTACTCTGGAGTACTCTGGGTTTAAAAATGAAAACACATCCTTTCTGGTACACTTATTGTTTCAGCAGCGAGTAAGAATGTAAGAAAAATGAGAATTGAATGTACCAGATCGTTTGTGTTTTTAATTTTGAAGCCGAGAGCCAGGATTTTGATGTTTTGGGAAAATCGTTAGAACTTTGTCCAGAAACATCCAATCAATTTCATCTAAAGAAGAAAATTTAGCAAAATCTTCAGGCTATATCATGACTATAATGAAATTTTTCTAAAATTCAATTCACTCAAAAAAAAACTTAATTTTTTGTAAGGAAAATTTGTAAGAAAAAAACTTACATTTTTGTAAGGAAAGATAGAGGTTTTTGGTTCTTAGCGGTTATCCAGGAAACTTCTAATTGCCACCAATCGATTCTCCGTGTCAATTTACATAGGGCCATCGCGTTAAAAATCCGATTTAAAGCTTGTGAAGCGAGCTAGAGAGGCTTAAAGTTGAGCAGGCAGAGCAGAGTCCTGACAACTCAACTTTAAGCCCCTCTAGCTCACTCTACAAGCTTTAAATCAAACTTTTAGCTCACTTGTCTTATGTAAATTGACATGGAGAATCGATTGGTGGCAATTAGAAGTTTCCTGGATAACCGCTAAGGATCTAAAACCTCTGCCGAAGAATCTATTTTTGATTTTTGATACAATTGAGATTTTTCTGTTGGCATGTTGGCATTCTTAAGTGCCAAACTTTGCTTTAAAACTATTTCCAGCTTTTTTTCAGTTCAATTCTCACCTCTATATCTATCGTTTCTTGAAGTCCTTTCCCTTTGAGTTTTCCCCTTTCAGTCATGCATGCCCCCTGCACCGCCTCCACTCCATCACGCGTCGATGACCGCCTCAACAATGAATCAATCGATGATGGGCGATGAGTTCTTCGATCGACCATTTTATGCAACATACAATGGAACATCAGCCGCTCATCTCCAGCACTATCATCGAGCTTCTTTTCATGAACAGGTCCCTCTATTGCTTTGCATGGTTTCGTTCAGATTGGAAATTATTAATTGGAAAGATTTACTAGGGAAAGGTATGAACTCAAGCTTTTTAAAAGAAAGTGAGCTTTGTGTTTGCTTTGAAAAGAATTTAGCGTCAAAACGGATGCTTTAAAAGGCTTTTTCCTAAAGAAGAAGATATTCCTTGGTGGCCTAATGACCTAGTGCATTTTAGAATTGGGTATGAGGAGACCGAATCTGAAACCAAAATCTGCTAAATGAGTTTCCAGGCTTGTAAAACTTCAATCAAGAATTTAGCGTCAAAAGTGCTTTACGTCAAGAATGCTTTAAAAGGCTTTTTCCTAGAGAAGAAGATATTCCTTGGTGGCCTAATGGATAACGCTTTAGATCGGCCAAAGGATCAGGGTTCGGGGCCTAATATGGCTTTTTTTGCACTAGGTTTCCAGAAAAGCTCACCTTGATTTCGTGCCTTTCGTTAGTTAGATTGAATAGGGATTCAGAGTTACTTTAGTTCAATTAGCTCTCAATTCCAACTGTTTCCAAGCTTTTGTAAATCAGGACAGCTAGGACAGGATAGATCTTGGCCAGAACAGGCTAGATCTTGGTCAGAACAAGATAGATCTTGGCCAGAACAGGTTAGATCTTGGCCAGAACAGGATAGATCTTGGCCAGAAACCAAGAACTCTTTGTGGGCCAGGCCAGGACAAATTCTAATCAATTTAAGAACTCAATTCAAGAAGAACTCTACTCTCAAGTTGAGCTTTCAATAGCTTGAATCAAGTTTGAATTTTTAGGAAAACCCAGCCGGCACGGAAATTTTAAAATATCATGACCGTTTTACAGTTACAGGAGCCCCTTCTCTCAGCATCTCACAAGCAATCAGCTTCAGCGCTTCGATCCGGCGTCTCGCCGAGTTGTCCTCGTCATGGAAGAGCTGCAATTGCTTTACAAGGTTTAATGTTTTATGTTACAAGGTTTTAAAAGTTTAAAAATATAACTAAAAGCTATAACAGTATCTAATCGAATTTTTTGAGGTTCTCGCGGGAATTCTGTGGTCTCTGGTGGCACCGGTCCTCCTCCACTCGAAGAGATTCAAGTCTAGAACTCGATTCAATCCACATTCTCCCAAAAAATCACTCTTGTCAAAGTGAATGCAACAAAACGGGTGTCTCCACTTTCATTTTATACATATTTTGCTTGAATAAATCAAATAAATAAATGGTTTTTTAAATAAAAAATGTTTAAAAGCAAGTAATAGATACATAAATTAGTTAAAAAGATTAATAATTGCTTGAAAATTGTATTAAATTAAATTAGACATCAATCTTACGGTATAGGATATTATAAAAGTCTATAAAAAGATACGGTAGTCAAGAAAAAGGGTATTGATTAGGAAGTACCCTAAAGTCGCGAGTATAAGTTCTGTTTGGTTTTCGCATGCAAATTGACGGCTGTCTCCGGTGCGGTGTGTCGAGGGTTCGAACCCCGCTGCAGCATAACTTTTTTGCTTTTTAAGAACAATAATAGAAGTAAATTTATTGAGGGTTATAGCAATTTTATGCTGTTATTTGTTGCTCCGGGCGTGGCTCGGCGCGTCCGCCCTGCTCCTCTCCGGTGCTCAGTCTTATGGATCCCTCCCTGGCCTCTTCATCCGGCCAAAGTCCACGTCGGCGGTCGAAAGAGATGCTTTCCAGCGTCTTCTTCAACACTATCGTCTGGATGTATCCATGCACATAACAAATAGCAATGGTGATAGGCTGTCACCCTGTAGTATCCCAAGAACAAGTGTTGTGTGTTCTTTGTGCGGCCGCGTAATCCCTCGTCGTCTGGCGCAGGGCTTTTACATAACCTCCTTCCCTCTCTGCTCCACAATCCGTTTCCGAAACTTCAAATTCGACATTGACTTCTCCTCAAATCAAGGCTAATCTCAATCTATTGGGTTGGTGAATCGAAAACTGCGGGCTATTGTCATATGTGACAGTTTGAGCCCTTTCTTCAAAAGAAACCCATTTTGGTGTCAATGGAAAAGTTGTAGAGAATCAAAAATCAAGCTTATACCCAAATTTTCAGAATGATTCAAAAACTGGTTTTCAAGAAATGCCAAATTTACGAATTTTCACAAAACTTGCATTTTAAGCGAAACTACTAAGTGTATCTTTTTGGAAATTTGGCTATAAGCCTAATTTTTGATTCTCTACAACTTTTCTATTGACACCAAAATGGGTTTCTTTTGAAGAAAGTGCTCAAACTGGGTGCTCCAGTCCTCCATTTTTGAGTCTCCCACTTGTCTCACACACAAACCAAAATCCTACTACGAAAGAGGAATCCGCAAATCGCTTGGTTGATTGGTTTTAAAATAATCCTCATGAAATTTCGTTATAGAAAACAACAATTTAGTTTGTATACTCTACTGTAAAAACAGAGAAAATTTCTGTCAAGGTTGGACCACCTACCTGGAAAAGTCGATGAACTTAGATGGTCTATAACTCGAGCTATAGAAAACCGCAATCCTCAAGTCGATCTAACAATTGGAAGTCGAATTATAGAGTAAAATAGAAGAGTCCCCAAACTCGGAGACTCACCACGGAATTTGGAAGAGTCTCCGAACTCCAAGACTCCTATCTGGAGGTTCAACTTTGAGTCAAATTTTCTCTGTTTTTATCGGTAAGTCTACAAAACAAATTCGACATTTTTATAACCAAATTTAATGGAGATTCTAATAAAACCAATCATAAGTTAAAATGAGCAGAAGTCGTCAATAATAATGGAAATTATTTGGAATGAATTGATGGTTTTATGTTGAATAAATTTTAGTTCAAAATCCGGCAGTTTTCAATTTATCAACCCAATAGTAATAAATTGCTGATATTGTTTTACTTTGCAGGTCTACCTATCAAGTTGAAGTTGGGATTATGAGACAATAACTCTTGTAAATGAAAGATCTAGTACTTGGGCAGAAACAATGGTTCTAAACTTGTTCTTGGATCAAGGCCAGCTAGCAGTCAAGGCCAGCCAGCAGTCAAGCCCAGCAAGCCAGTAGTCAAGCCCAGCAAGCCAGTAGTCAAGCCCAGCAAGCCAGTAGTCAAGCCCAGCAAGCCAGTAGTCAAGCCCAGCCAGTAGTCAAGCCCAGCCAGTAGTCAGTTATAGCCTGACTTACTGTTAGCCTAATCCGCAACTCCAGAGCCAGACTTGATTCAGATTTATGAGCACTTTTTGGATTACAATTAGAATTATCAGTTCGATTCAGAATTGCAATTTAATTAAAAGAAAAATTGAACGAAAACGAAATCCCCAATTTTCCCACTAACCCCCAGCATCTGGATCTAGTCTATTAACCAATTCCAAAGTTGAAAAACATATAAATGACCACTCAAGAACGAATAATCCCCACTAATAACCATTACAACTCAAATGTATACAAACAAGCAAAGGGAAGAGATGGCTTTCATCTTTCTTTGTGTCAATCTTTTATAATTTAAAGAAAAATTGAACGAAATCCCCAATTTTCCCAGTTTTCAATTCACCAACCCACTTACTCGCGAGGGACAAACTCTAATTTTAACTCTTGAGCATCGAGAAACCAATTGAGAAACATTTTTTTCTTCAGTTTTCAGCGTGATACCTTTAAAACGAAATTCAAATGTTTTTTGCTTTAAAAGATTTCTTTTAAAATATTTTTATTATACATTTACATTCCTGAGTTACAAATTGACATAGAGAAAATCAAAGATTTCACAAAAAATCAAAGATTTCAAAGAGGGTAGATAGATTTGGGTGAGTATTTGTATCCAAATAAATTCCTGAGTTTATTTCAAAATAAAGAAAAAAGTTTGTGGAGGTAGTTTTGAGAGGGTTTTTTTTGTCATTTAGAGCCTTTGAGGTACATGAGAACAACAAGGAAACAAAAGAAAAGTGGCTCAATTTATAAGAAAGATGATTTTTTTTAAAAGAAAGAAACATTCGTAAAGTAAAGTAAAGTAAATAAAGTGCTGGGCACTTAAAAAAACGTTTTTTTTCTGGTCTGCGCTCAAAAATTTCGATAGAAAACGGAGAAATTTCGAAATTTTGAAAGACTTTGGAAAATTTTTGTTGTAGCTTTTTTGGGCGCATCCATTTAATGAAAAATATGTGGGAAATTTGGGAAATTTGAGAATTTAAGTGAAAACTTTGAAAAATAAAGATTTCAAATGAAGATTTAAAGATTTCTAGAAGATTTAAAAGATTCAAATGAAGATTTAAAGATTTCTAAAAGATTTCACTTAAATTCTCACAATTCTGGCTGGTTGTGGCTGAAAAAAAATCGGTGAAACTATTGAAAGCTTTCGTCGTGGAACACAGAAGCGCAAAAGAAATATGAAATTGTTTAAAATTGTTTAAAATTGTTTAAAATTGTTGAAATTGTTGAAATTGTTGAAATTTTCGTTTTAAATTGATGAAAACACAAATTGAAAACACAATTTTCAAAAATAAAACCAAAAACAAAGACATTTCGAATCGCTGAGTCTAGTCGGGTGATCACGAATCATAAAAAACGTTCCTGAGATGTGAAAAATTCCTGAGTTTTTATAGAATCGAAGAATTGGAGCATGAAAAAGAGATAGAGAAGTGATTTGAATGGAATCGGGAATTGAAAGTGGTAGAGTTGGAGCTGGAGTCGACCAGTTAACAGTTGAGCTAACTGTAAGCTGTAAGTTAAGCTAACCCATGTTAAGCTAGCTTTTTTCGGTCCGTTTCCCGTTGGATCAGGCCTAGACCTGGGGTAAACCAAGCTCAAGTCAGATCAAGTACGAATCTTGCTCGTATCTTTGCCGGGTTTGCTTGAAAAACGTTTAATTTGCTTTCGTTCGATAGAAAATTTGATTTCCAGTCGAATGAAAGTAAATTCAGCGTTTTGTCAAACAAATCTGTCTACGTTACGAGCAAAATACGTAGATTGCCAACGGCAAACGGACAAAAGGGGCCGAGTTAACATTACAGGCCTGTCTGTACTGGTTTTAAGCTGATTTGAATGCAGAAATCAGGCCTAGACCTGGGATAAACCAAGCTCAAGCCAGATCAAGTCTAGCAACCGGGCTGTTCCAAGACCAGATCAGGTCGAAAGCCAGGTCCTAGCCTGGTTGGCTACTGCTGGCCTGATCCTGACCTGGCCCTGGCTTTGGCCTTGATCCTGACCGTAGCCCTGATCCTGGCCCTGACCCTGGTCCTGACTTGACCCTGATCTTAGCGCTGATGCTGATCCTGATCCTGGCCCTGACCCTGACCTAAGCTTGAGCTTAAACTTGGAACAACTTGGCTTACAGAATCTAGAGCTTGGATTAAACCATCTCTAACGGTTGTTAAATCGTTCGTTTAGCTATTCTATTTAAAGTCCTCTTCTGCCTGAAGCCCAAATGTAAGATCTAACTTTTATGTTCTATGCAAATAAAGCAAAGGTTTCCCTTAAATTCCATCGAAAATTTGCGATTCTTCCACTTCAAATCACTCGATTCGAATCATTCCTGAGTGCCTATCAAAATGGGCGTGAAAATTCCTGAGAAAAAAGAAATATTGTACAAGAAGTCCCTGAGAAGCTTTTCTTGCTGAATTTTTGAGGTAGATTTGATAGATTTTTGGAGAGAGATGAATTTTGAGACAAATCGGAAAGAAAGCGAAGAAAATGCGTGAAGAAAATTTAGAATTAGATTAGAGAAATAGAAATTTAGAAAAGGATCTTGAAAAAGTTGAGCAAGTCTTGGATTTTCGCATCTTTAGACTTTAAAAACTTGATCAACTTTTGCATAAAAAAAGCACTCGGCTTAGAAAAATCAGTGGGATGAACGTGAATCACCGTTTTTCTTTTCCAAAAAGGGTCACTGGTTGTCAGGGGAGGGCAAAAATAGTAGAGATATTGTAAAAAGCAATATAATCAAAAAAAAAGAATACTGAAAAATAGCTTGGGCTTTAAAAAGCCGGCTTAATTTCTTCGGCTTTGAAAGTGTTTTGGGCGAGTTCGGGGAAAAGACGAGCGAGAGCTGATTGGGCAGAACCATTCTCTGAATTGCTGATTGATGAAAGTGCGGCAAGATTCAGAGTGGATAAAGCGCCGGGAGTGAGGCCATTCAACGATGCGAGAGTCTCAGCTGCTTCGGCTTTCTTCTCATCTTGCTCGGATTTGATCGCCGCGTTGAGAGCTTGCTGGAGATTGTTCCCGAAGGCTGCTGGAAATGTTTGTTATTTGAAAATGTCTGTTACAGACTTGATAGTTAGCACTGAGAATGGACAAAGCTTTTCTAAAGTCAATTTCCTAGAGCTAGGCCAGCAAAGGGATCAGCCTTAGCTTCGATCTTTGGCTTCCAGACTTTACAGCCTGTAAGTCAAAGATCTATCTCTCCAAAGCTGTCTACTTTTTCTAAACGAACAGTTTGACTTGGAAAACAGGTTAATTTTAAAAAACTAACGCCAGATTATGAAAATTCGGATATTTTTATCTTTACTAGACTTTTTTGGATAAAATTTACAATTCTAAACATGTTTTTGATCAAGATATATAAAGATTTCTGATTTTTTTTTGCTTTGAATGAGTGCTTTCCGTAGAATTGCTTGAAAATCTTTTCTTTTCAAGATATAAACTTTGTTTATAGTTTGTTTTCAAGAAAAAACTTCAATCTATCAAATGGTGACAACAGTTTCTAGAAAAGATTTCATTCTGCAAAGTTTGAGCTGCTTTTATGGCTGAGAATAAAGCGCTAAAGAATTTCGACTTTCAAATGTCCGTAAAAACTTTTCTAAGCCATAAAAGCGTTTTGACTTTTCAATATTTTATGTAGTATGCCTTCTTCTCGTTAATGCCAAAATTTGGTGTAATTCTGTTGTAAAGCAAGGGAGAAATTCAACTTTTAACATTGTCCCAAAGTTGGGTGACTAAACCGGGTGCCCGAGTGATTTTTGGATTTACTCGAAAGTGCTTTGTAGTCCAAAATTTCTCAGAATTTCTGATTTACACCAAATTCATCAATCCACAATGTAATCTCGCTGATTTTTCAAAACTTAAGTCCAAATCTGGTAAACTACAAAAGAAGAATCAGACTTCGATGATCGATGAGTTCAATTTTTATAAAATGCTGAAGCTCATATTCTGGATTGTCTAATTTGATGTAAATAAAGAAATTCTAAGAATTTGGACTACACCAAATGCTGATTTACTTGAAATCAAGCCCTTTAGCCCCTAGTGATTGTCAAGGAACTCGTAACTTGTCTTCTCATTAGTTTTTTAGAATATTTTTGCTCAGTAAAACTCACTAGTGACAGCAACAGCAGCCGCTGCAGCGAGGAAAGCATTCGGCTGTGTGGTGACAGCTTCGGCGTTCATCCTAGCTTGTGAGGTGGCTAATTGTACAGCCTCTTCACGAATCGACTTCGTCTTTTTCGCGTGACGTACTCGACGACATCTGGAATTTAAAAATACATTTAGTCACACGAAAAATTGGGGAAAACAATACACAAGCAGTCTTAAGCCTGAGCCTAAGCCTGAGGCTATGCCTAAGCCCAAGACTAAGCCTAAGCCTAAGCCTAAGCAGTCTTAAGCCTAAGCCTAAACCCTAAATATAGAGAAGAAAAACCTGAGAAAAAGAGCTAATAATCTAGCGAGAATGAACCCTTGTCCTTTCGACTAAGATATAAAGCTCTTAGCCAATCGGCTATGAGGCTTATTTGATTTGTGGAATATAGAATGTCTATAGAAGTTCGAATTCTAGCGGACTAAAGAGATCAACAGGCTCACCTAGCGGCCAACTTCTTCATCGCATTTCTGAAATGATCCCAAAACTCGATATCCGAATGCACTTTGTCTCCAAACACTTTGCGGCAAACATCTAAAACTTTTTCTATGTAAAAATCGTTCGTTTTCTGATACCTTTTATGTAAACAAGTCCCTCAATCGGCAAATTATTGTAGTTGGAGTGATTGGGGCCGGCAACAGTCGTGAGTGACATCAATTTCGAGCCAAAGACACGTTTCTCAGCGAGTTTCTAAAAGAAATTTTAGATTTGAATTGATTTGACTATAATATATCTAGAGATTTATCTAAAAATAAGTTTAAATAAGCTTTAATCTTACTTTGCACAAGTTCGACATGCATTCGCCCAAATCCATCTCATCAAAACGTTTCGATTGAGTGATTTGCGTGATGATTTGTTGCTCAGACACTGGACGAAAGGCTAAAAATCGAAATTTTAGTTGATTATTTAGAGAATTTCGACAATTTTCAACAATTTTATTAAACAAAGAAGAAAAACTCGAAGAATAACCGCAAGAAAAACTCACTCGGATCACATTTGATTGCATCAGGCACCGGGATGTCAGTCTCTTTAACGTTCTTTCCACTCAACTCATATTGTTGAATGAGTTTCGTGAAATCGTCGTTCACCTGCTTCTAGAAATAGAGAAAATTGAGATTTACATTTTAGCAGAGATTTTAAATCTATTCTATTTATTTTTAGCTGACATTAAAGCTGCCATTAAAGCTGCCATTAACGAGCTGACATTTATCATTTAAAAGTTCAAGAACTAACCCTGGCTCTTCTCTCGCACGAGCTTGTTCCATTCATCGGCAGAGTGGCGACAGGAATATTCCCCTTATTTGCCAATGAATAGAATGGTGGCGGTTTGACGGAATCTTGCGAAAAGAGGAGACCAAAGCTGGAAATGAGCAATTGAATATAGGTTTTTGATATAGTTTAAACAGCGTTGAATAGAGAAACAAAACAAAACAAAACAAAAACAAAAACAAAACGTTCAAAACAAAATTTCTCACAATCCAAAAAACCAATTTGTTTCAAGTTTTATATCAAAAAAATCTTTGCATTCTTGGCTAAATGATGAATGAAAGAGTTTTAAAACAAGTTAATATTTTATAGATTAAAACAGCGCTCAAAATGTGTCAAGTTGATTAACTGAATATCTTTAGTTGATTGAATATCTTTATTTCATTGAATATCTTTATTTCATTGAATATCTAGACTGAATATCTTTAGTGACCCATTTTGAGCTCAAATTTTATCTATAAAATGCTAACTTTTTTAAAAAAGTGTTTCACTCATCTTGTAGCAAAAAACGCAAGGATTTTTTTGATATAAAACTTGAAACAAATTGGTTTTTTGGATTTTGAGAAATTTTGTTTTGAACGTTTTGTTTTTGTTTTGTTTTTTGTTTTGTTTTTGTTTTGTTTTTGTTTTCTATTCAACGCTGTTGCTCTCTTGACTCATTTGTGCACAATTTTTTACACTCTACTTAACAAACGTTAAACTAATAACGGTTATTAAACTTTTCTGTATTCCTTAATGCTTTTTTGAATGCCAAATGCTTTTCCCCAACTAATTTCCCCAACTTTTCTGTGTTCCTAATGCTTTTTTTAATACCAAATGCTTTTCCCAGTGTACTTTTTGTGTACTTTTTGTGAGAACACCAGTTCCCACAAAGGAATTCAACTGATTTCCGGTTAAAATTCGAAATCTCAACGAAATTCCGCCAAAAATACTTCAAATTTCCGGAATTTTGCGAGATTTTGATGGCTTTTTATGCTCATTTCCGTAGCTTTTTATAATTAACTATAAGGTAAATCTCTGCTTAAAGAATATGTACATATAGTATATAGTTATTTCTGAATTGATCTCGTCTTTTGAACTTCAAAAACGATTTGGAAAGTGAGAGTGTGTAACACGAGAGAGAACCGAGCACACTTGTCTCTCATTTTTTTCAATTTGATGGCTTTTGAAATGGGCAAAAAGCCAAGCTAGATCTTTGAATCAAAATTTGAATCGAAAGATCTAGAGCTTTAGAGCTTTAGAGCTTTAGAGCTTTAGAGCTTTAGATTCTAGAGCTTTAGAGCTTTAGATTCAAAGTTTGATTCAAAGATCTAGCTTTATAAGCTTTAAGCTTTAGAATTAGGCTTTGAATGCACATTGCACATGCAATAGAACAATCAAAAGTTTGTAGAGAATGTTAAAGCTTCAGTTTCTTAACTGCATCTAGCTACAATTGGCTCTTAGCTGCATCTGGCTACAATTGGCTTTGAACTTGGCTTCAACTGCAACTTTAACAATAGTTTGAAACGTTTAACTCAACAAGCTCTATTGATTTTCAAAATTTCTCTTTATTTCCCTTTATTTTCAGATTATTTCAGCAGTCCCTATGTCTAAAATAGTCGATCAATTCTCGGGAACCCCTTCTCGTCACCGATGCGAACCCCCTTTGCTCAAAAAAACGAGAGAATTCGCTAGTTTGTAGACGAAAAAAAATGCGAAAATAGTATGGGTCTTCAATAGAAAAAAAGTGGCAAAAAAAAGAAAACGGGCATCAGAAAAACTGACTAGGTTAGAGATTGGGGAAAGAGTAGAGTTTCTGCAGAGAGCATAGAGAAAATGGGACTTTTTCACGGCACAGAGCGAATGGGCGAACCTTTTTTCTGGTAAACATGTGCCGATAGGGAACTTTCATTTTGTCCGGTGAAAAGAGAAATGGGGTTTTTTTTACGTGTAATTTGAGATGAGGAAGGGGGAAATCATCAGAGTGAGGGAGTGAGGCGAGTTTTAGAAAAGATTCTTATGGTTTAGAGAGGAGATTTTGATGTAGAGCTGAATTGAGGAATGTTTGGTTTGAATTGAATTATCAGAATTGATATATCAGATTCAAATTCAACCATATCTGATCTGAATTGATCAACTTTGATTCTCTGAATTGATTGCTCTCTTAATTGATTGATGAGGAGAGCTTTGGAAAAGATTGTGATGGTTTAGAGAGGAGATTTTGATGTAGATCCGAAATGAGTGATGATAGATTTGAATTGATATATCAGAATTGATATATTAGATCCAAATTCAACCATATCAGATCCGAATTGAGTCATGTTTGGTTTGAATTGAATTATATCAGATTCAAATTCAATCATATCTGATTCTCTGAATTGATTGCTCTCTTAATTTATTGATGAGGAGAGCTTTGGAAAAAGATTGTGATGGTTTAGAGAGGAGATTTTGATGTAGATCCGAAATGAGCCATGTTAGATTTGAATTGAATTATATTAGATCCAAATTCAACCATATCAGATCCGAATTAATCAACTTTAATCAAATTTGATCAACTCTGATTCTCTGAATTGAATGATCTCTTAATTGATTGATGAATTGATCAACTTTTAATCTTATAACGTTCTAATCTAATAAAAGGGTCAACAGTCGAGTCAACAGTCGAGTCAACAGTAGTCGAGTTTTTCAAGTTTAAGCTTTTCAATGACAATCCAACTTTGTAAACTCCAGTAAAGTAAACTCCAGTAAAGTAAACTCCAGTAAGTAAACTCCAGTAGCAAACTGTACTCCAGTACACCTACAATTCTTCAAGACAAGCTGATCTACAACAAATTGTGCTAAGGACAACTGTTGACAAAAATCCTAGCTGATTGTGAGCTTGTAAATGATGATTGATTCATCTACTCTATCTACATTGATTCTATCATTGACATCTGCTTTTTCTACCCATAAATTGATAGCTTTACATAAGCTTTTCCAATCATAAGTTAACAGTGTTCTTTTCAAACCAAAATTGAACTACAAAAGTTCATCGTGAACTTCTAGAACAACTTGTACCCTCCCTGACATCTTCTCAATTCTTCTCATCTTCTCAAACTCAGCTACAGTTTAGTTTTCAATCTTTAAACTGCATTAAATCACAAATCATCCTCAACTTTCATCCCAATTTTGTAAACACACCCTTTCTGGTGCAGTATTTCAGTTCAAAAAATATATTTTTATATTTTTCTCTAAATCCCTAAAAAAAGCACAATGAGATTGGAGATTTTCGTTGAAAAAAAGCCCATGAAAAAGCTGAGAGAAGAACGGACCCCCCAATCAGCCCTTTTCCGGGGGTTCGACTCTTTTCTCATATCTCGCTTGCCTAGTGAGTTTTTCAAAGAAAAGAGCTTTCAGGGGTTCACTTTTTCGTCTATTTGCCTGTTCCCTAGTGCGTTTTTCATCAAGACTCGAGGTGTGCAGGGTTCTCTTTTCTCTCGCTCTCTTTATTGGGTATTATATTTTCTCTACTCTTGTCCCATGGAAAGTGAGTTTTTCAGAGAGCCTCACCCCTTTCCTTTTCTTTTTCTCTTCCCCTTTCTCTTCCCCTTTCTCTTCCTCCTTCTCTTCTCTTTCCCTTTCTCTTCCCCTTTCTCTTCCCCTTTCTCTTCCCCTTTCTCTTCCCCTTTCTCTTCCCCTTTCTCTTCCCCTTTCTCTTCCCCTTTCTCTTCCCCTTTCTCTTCCCCTTTCTCTTCCCCTTTCTCTTCCTCTTTCTCTTCCTCCTTCTCTTCTCTTTCTCTTGCTCTTCCTCTTTCTCTTCCCCTTTCTCTTCCCCTTTCTCTTCCCCTTTCTCTTCCCCTTTCTCTTCCCCTTTCTCTTCCTCTTTCTCTTCCTTTTCCCTCCACGCCCCCATTGATCCGGCCGTTCCCCCACTCACGGGTCCTCTCTCAAAAAAAAAAACGGGCAAAAACTGGATAAGAAAAAAAACGCTAAAACGTGAGTCGGGAATGTTCTTTGCCCAGCATATTCTACAAACAGCTAGAATAAACTACAAAAAGCTAGAATAAACCTAAGCTAAAGAGTTTTAAAAATGAGTAATCCCCCCTAACAGAATAACGGTTTTTTTTCCCCGATAATGACAAAATAACAATTTTTACAGAAAATCTTGCTATTAGATCTTGAAATGAGGGTAGTTTATTGTTTGAAAAGAACTAAAAGAACTTTTGGTTCTTACAGAAAGAAGTTTCTAATTCAACTTTCCAAATCTATCCCCTTGCTCTTCGATCTTTCCCAACGCACCGAAAGAAGTCAAAGATCCAACCCAGTCAAACGGGTCAAGAGAGGCTTGTTGAAGTGAAAGAAAAGAAAAGAGTTCACTCACTTGTTCTGTATCTCTTTGGAAACAAAAGAGAAGGCCGGTTGTGGTGTTGGTTGAACGGGAGACTGCATCATTGCCTGAGTGGATGTCGATGAGGTGGACGAGGCTTCAGATGCGTCGATTCCGACTGGGTCGATCGGGTTTGAGTCGGCTGAAAATGGAGGGTTATTTTGAATTGATCATTCTCTTAATTCTTGAGCTGTAATAGGATAAACAAGTCAAAAAACCAGCCGATAAATCGATAAAGGTTTTTCAGCTTTCTTTGTTGCTAAGATCATTGCCAGCATGGCCTAGTCGAGAGCAGGCTTGTCTACAGCTTACACGTCTGTCTACAGCTTACAGCTTACACGGTCCGAGTTCTTCTACTGTACTATACCAGGGAGTGGGCGTTTATCAGAGCACAAAGTGCAGCTTTGTCCTATCATTTGACTTCTATCCTATTATTTGACTCAATGAGCTCACTAGATCGGAGATTTTAGCTTAGATTAGAGATTCGTTTTAAAGTCAATCTCTCAACTTAATTCTAAACTTCCCTAGCAATCAATCGGCTCTCAAAATTCCCTTAATTCAAAACCACGAAAGCCTTCAATCACTCCAGTCACTCCAGTCTCAAATCAATCTCAAAACTCAAAGTTTCTTCTCTTCAATCATCCATTTCTTCTCTTTTTTTTGCAAAAAAGACCACCCTGTCAATCTCATTGACAGTTTTTTTTATAAAAAGTGCTGAACAGTCGACTCAAATGAGATAAGAGACTGTAAATCGCGGCGTTCCTTTTCCCTTCCCCATTTTCCCGGAATTTTACGTTGAAAGGACACAACATCTCCTCATTTTCCTAAGAAAAACCTTTATGAACACAAAGATAATGGAATTTTGTGTCTCGTGTTCACAAATTTTCTCAAAAAAAATTAGGTCTTCTTGTATCACGTGTCGACAGAATGGCGCCAAGAGAAATTTTTCTAATCAGTCATAAATTCGGGTTTTTAGAAGGGAGACTCGTGGAAGAATGACGGGGAAAAGACGCCGGAAAGGTAATTGAAATTTAAGGGAATTGGGAGAATTGGGAATTTGTTTTTTTAGATGAAAAGGACTTTCGCAAAGTACCAGGGTGAAATTGAGAATAGGGAATGAATGATGGGAATGAGGACGAGGGTTAGGCTTAGGCTTAGACTCAGTCTTGGCCAAGGTTGAGTCTAAACCAAGATTCAGTCTTAGCCAGACTGAGTCTAAGCCAAGACTGAGTCTTAGCCTAAACCTTGTACTCATTCCCATCATTCTTGGCTAAGATTGAGTCTAAGCCTAAGCCTTGTACTCATTCCCATCATTCTTGGCTAAGGCTGAGTCTAAGCCTAAGCCTTGTACTCATTCCCATCAGTCTTGGCAATGAATGAATGACTTGTTTTGAACCAAATTGCCAATGAAACAAACCTGTTGAGCTCTCAGTCTTATTCCCATTTGATTCAACGGATGATGGACTGCTCCATTTCCCATTTTCTTGAGCTTGTTCTTGTGGTGGAGCTGGAAGAGTGGGTGATGGAGGTGGACGAACTTGTGGAGCGAGAAGAGGCCAGTGAAAACCGGGCACTTGAGGGAAGCATTGTGGTGGAAGGGGACCTAGAAATTGATGAGATCACTATTGTATAGCAAGAGTGATAGATTATGCAGCTAATCGATAGCTTTAGGCTTTAAAATATAGATCTGAGGCTAAGCCTAAGCCAAGCTCAAGCAGTCAAGCTAAAAGCTAGCGGTATTCCTTTCTAGAAAGTCTTCTTTTCATCAAAAGAAGACAACTACAGTACCTAGACGAATCCTAAAAAGGTAAAGAAGCTATTTAAGAATTAAAATCCAATACTAATACTATACGAATGCGATTTTTCAATCAAATTTTAGAATCAAATTCGACGATCCCCAATTTTTGGTGGATGGATTGTCGAATTTGATTATAAATTATTGAAAATAACATTCGTAAAGTATTTGTATTGTATTTTAATTCTTAAATAGCTTCTTTACCTTCTTAGGATTCGTCTTGGTACTTCTTTTCTCTTTCACAAATCCCCTACTTGACTAAACAAACTTTTTTCTTTATCCCCTGCTTTCTTTTTCTCTCATTTTCGATCCCTTGACCTATCATTTTTCTAATAAAACCGTGAAAATCATTTTTTCTCTGTCTACTCGAATAAAAAAATGGGAAATCCTTTGCAAAGTCGAACGGTATGTGAATTCCAATGAGAGTAATCCCCAAAAAAAATGAAAAAGAGACGTTCATTGAGAGAATTTTGATGAAATATTGATTTTAATGAAATTTTTTTTGATTTAAAGGGATTAGTCTGTAAAAGATTGAAGTTAGAAATGGAAAAATTGATATTAAAATTGATATTAGAATTCGAGTGACGAGTTTGAATGGTTGTATAATGGTTGGGAGTTGTTGAAATGTGTTTGGGTCAGTTTGAATGATCGTACAATGGGACAGAGTTGTTGAAATGTGTTTGGGTCAAATTTGGATGATGATGTTGGAGATTGGGGAAAGCTAGATCGATGGCTAGCTCGATAAACATCAAAAACAAGTTTATATCGAAAGAAAGAAAGACTTGTGGGTCAAATAGCGTCAAACTTTAGGGATAATGTTGGAGATTGATCTGGGGAAAGTTAATTTATCAGCTGTTTATCATGTTTATCAAGCTAGCTAGCTCGCTAGTTTGATAAACATGATAAACAGCTGATAAACAGCTTGATAAACAAGTTTATATCGAAAGGAAATCTATAATCTACAAAGATTTGAACTCACAAGTGGGTACAGGTCGAAGCGCAACGGGGCATTCGGGTTGATTCGTCGAGGCAGGTCTCTTCCTGGATTGAGCGATGCCTGTGGGGAGATTGGCCAATGCTGACAGGGCATCATTTCCGTTTGGAATTGATGGGTTTAGAGATGGGGCTGAAAATGGAAAACAATACGGTATTTATTCTAATATAAGTGATAACTATGGACTAATTAGAAGCAATTTTCCCTCCAGTAGAAGCAATAGAAGCCTCCAAAAGAAGCTTTGCTGTGGAAAGCTGTGGAAAGTGATTTAAAAATAGAAGAGCTTCTAATAGAAGATAGAAGAGCTTCTAATAGAAGATAGAAGAGCTTCTAATAGATTAATAGAAGAGCTTCTATTAGATTAATAGAACAGCTTCTAATAGACTAATAGAACAGCTTCTAATAGATGAATAGAACAGCTTCTAATAGACGAATAGAACAGCTTCTAATAGAAGATAGAAGAGCTTCTAATAGACTAATAGAATAGCTTCTATTAGAATAAATACAATAAATTGTAAGTGATCTTCATTGTCCAAAGGTTGGCTAACAATTTCACGTCATAGCTCTGGTAATTCAGACTAGATTTAAGTCTAACTTTGAAACTAACATTGTTTCAACATTGTTCAACATAACATTAAACATTTAAAACCATAATTTCCACCTCAACAACTATTGTTTAACTCTAAACTTAAAGAATTCTTCAATCTTACTTGAAGTAGTCGGCTCATTCCCATGAAGAGTCTTTCCCAGCCATAACCAGCTCAACACTTGTTGCCGTAGTTCATGAAACTCTCTGGAAAAGAAGAAAATAATATTGGAAGCTTGGAAGCTTGGAAGCTTTATAGAAGCTTGGAAAGCTTTATAGAAGCTTGGAAGCTTTATAGAAGCTTGGAAGCTTTATAGAAGCTTGGAAGCTTTATAGAAGCTTGGAAGCTTTATAGAAGCTTGGAAGCTTTATAGAACTTTGTCTTAAGTCTTATTTTCTTAAGTAAACAAAAAGCTTTTCCCATATTCACTTACACAAATGGACTATTGATCGAGTGCTCTAAACCGGGCAATTTCAGACTCGCGTCAACGAGAGTCGGTGATTGAAAAGCGGGAAAAAGGTTGAATGAGTTTATGTTCAATAAATTCGTTGTTTGTTGAAGTAAGGGAGAAATCGATGTTGATGTTGATGGAATGCATGAATATGAAGGGAATAGAAGAGGATTTGTTTGCGATTGCGAGATTTGGGAGATCCTCGAGACTGGGATCTCTGGACTGCGGACCATTTGCGGGAAGGAGAACGATGAAGAAGAGAGAGATACACAAGTTGGGGATCGATCACTGCGATGAGGTAGATGGAGAGAAAGATCTTGAAATCGTGAAATGGAGATTGGAAAATGAAGAAGAATGTTAAGAACTGAAAGAAATAGAAAAATAAGAAAGCTGAGTGATCAAGAATGGAACGAAACTCAAAATTCAAACTCTAAATCGACTCTAATCTTGTCCACAAGACTTTGAAGAGAATTGAGCAACGATTTTAAGAGATTAAAATGTCAGAGTCAGAGGTTGCAAGTCAAAAATTACAACTAGGAAGAGTTGTAGGTTGAAAATTTGAATGTAAAAGCTTTCCATAAAGTTTTAATTGGAGATTTTAGCTTTAAAATAGCAAAAAGCCTCATAAAATTGAAAAAGTTTCGATAAATACTTGTTCAAAACTTTTAAATAAACTCTAAACTAACAAAGTTTTGAAAAAAAACAGACTAGAAACGGAAGCTTTTAGAAAAAAATGGAATGAGAAAGAAAAAAGACGGAAGAAAAGAAAACTAGCGCATGTGCTTCGAACTTTTCTTTGTCATTTTTGGAGAAAGGAGAAGTGGATTGGGTACATGTGTTCTTCAAGTTATAATACTTTATTATATGTAAAAAGTTATAATAGTCAAAGTACTTTGGCCTTTCGTAGTACAATAGATTAGTAATTGAACTTGGGTTCTTTGAGATTGGTTAGGCTCCGCTCAGGCTTAGGCTTAGGCTTAGGCTTAGGCTTAGGCTTAGGCTTAGGCTTAGGCTTAGGCTTAGGCTTAGGCTTAGGCTTAGGCTTAGGCTTATGCCTATGCTTAGGCTTAGGCTTAGGCTTAGGCTTAGGCTCTGCTCAGGCTCAGGCTCAGGCTCAGGCTTAGGCTTATGCTTAGGCTTATGCTTAGGCTCTGCTCAGGCTCAGGCTCAGGCTTAGGCTTTGGCTCAAAGAATTAGGTGGATTGACTTGCCTTGGTTTACATAAAAACAAACAACAGCTAGAAATCAGTCCAGAAACTTCCCAGACTAGGACCAAGCTAGGTTTTAGCCTTTTAGCAAGATAGGATCTAAGCTAGGCTAGGATCAGCTTTGATCAGGATGATCAGATTGATCAGGATCAAGCCAAGAGCCTGACGAAGCCAGAACATCTGCCCAAAGCTATTCTAAAACCAAATTTCTGTCTAAGCCAGGATCAAAAGCTAAACTTCTTGCCTAAACTAAACCCTTCTTGCCCTAGTTTAGCTTTTGATTTGGAGTTTGGACTATTCTTTAACCATAAAATAATAAAGCTAAAAGTTCTAGAACAATTTTTGTTCATTTTTATCGTATTGCTTTCTGTTATGTTTTCTTATTGACGTGTAGAACTTAAAAAGAAAAAAGATTGAAGAAATTATCCAAAATTATCTTTTAAAAACAAGTGAAATGCAGAGAAATGCAAAAAATGGGAGCTTTTATAAAGGTAGAGCAGAAATGGGAACGCCCACTGAGACCCCAGGGTTTTTCTTATATAGTTCTTACAAAGTTAATCTCTCCCATGGTATAAAAGAGTTTTTTGTCTATTTTTTTCAAACTTTTTTCTAATGGTTCTCCATGGTGATTGGGGAAGTTTTTCTGTTCCGATTTTCGTATTACAAAAGTTTTTTTTTCGAATCGAAAAACGGCAAGTTCAGTGGGATTATCTCTTGCGATGCGAGAGTCGGATCAGCATTTTTTTATAAATTGCAAAAAAAGGATTATAGTTGTTAAGGAAACGTTCAGAAAAAGTGAGGGGAAAGGGTGAAAAAATGAGAGTTTGAAATGAAAAACATTTCCTGGGGGACAGGGAAAAGGGAGAGCTGAATGAATGAGTCAAAAAAAAGGGATTTCTGTGAAAAGGGATAATTTGAATGAAAACAGAAAAAACGGTATACGGTGGGCTGTTTTGGAGATTAAAAAGTTGAAGATCTTTAGTTGAAAAACTTTAATCTTTGTACTGTAGAGGGCTTTGTAAACGCTCACTAGAGTGCTTCGTAAACGCACTCTTTCTAATGCATGAATTTGAGTCCAGAAGATACTAGTGACGATACTTTTCTTTAGATTTTAAATACTTTTCTCTCAAATGTGTAAACGAATTCTTTCTGATGCACGGAAACGAGGGAAAGACAGAATAGAGAATCCAGTGCGCCAGAGAGGATAGATTTGCAGCACCAGTACATCAAGCACACTGTACATCAAGTACATCAAGCACACTGGATCAAGAATCCACACTGGATCAAGAATCCACACTGGATCAAGAATCCAGAATGAATCAAGAATCCAGACTGGATCAAGAATCCACACTGTGCTAGATAGGGTGTGTTTGGACTTTTTGACACAAAAACAAGACAACTTCAAACCATCGTTCTAAGCCATGATGATTCGAAAAAAAGTGAAGGAATTGGCAAGAAAAAGTCCGAAGAGGGGATTGAACCCTCGACCAACTGACCTACCGACCGATTGATAGGCAGTTTCTTTAACCACTGAGCTATCTGGTCTCTTAACCTAGTGAGAGAAAAATCAAAGACAAACTGGAAGAAAGGAAACTTCAACCGGAAGTTGGTTTTAATGACAAGTCCAGACTAGAAGAGGAAACGAAATAACAAGTTTAGTCAAAGATTTTCAATTCTAAATTCAATTCTAGTGCATGAATTTGAGTCCAGAAGATACTAGGGACGTTTTTTTCTCTCTCAAAAGTGTAAATGACTGAGAAACAAGTCCAGACTAGAAGAGGAAACAAAATAACAAGTTTAGTCAAAGATTTTCGATTCTAAATTCAATTCAATTCAATCTAAATTCAATTCAAATTGAATTTAGATAGATTCAAAGCAAAAACAAGAACAAACTTCAGTTATGAGTCAACAGCTTAACAATACCGTAATCATAAAAGAATCGGTGTTCGAAAACATTTCTCAATCTCGTGCCAAACTCGTTTTGGCACAAAAACATCACATGATTTCAATCAGACACTATTTTCAAATATGGGTGTTCTCAAGAACGGAAATGGAGAAATGAGAAGAAAAAGGATAAAGCCGAAATCTCCAGTGGTAACCTCTGTCACACGTTCGCTCACTCACTCCTGAAAAGACTCATGGAAAGACCGCCCTTTTTCGCTGGCAATCAGCCAAGTCCGCCCCTCAAAAAGCGGCAGACTTTTGGGGGAAAAACGGAGCTGAAAACGGAGATGAAAAACCTCGAGAAAGGCTGCGTGTGGGCCAGTGAAAGAGTGCGGCGAGATTGGAGAGCTGAAGGTGCAGAAGAGGAGCCAACGAACGGGGCCGGAGCTCTCTCCTCTCTCCTCTCCCCAAAGTGCGTTCCCCTCGGCAGAGAAACGTGTAAAAGAGAAATTCTGAGGCAGACACAGGAATTCTCTCTCATTCTGCTTATAACTAGTCACGAGGTTGGTCTAGAATGGAAAGAGGTGCTGAAAAAAGAGGAGGGATTGATGAAGAAATCGGACACGTCATTTGGTGAGAAGGATTGGTGAGATTTTGAGTGAAACAAATAGATCAAAATTGAGATTTTGATAGAGAAGTTTACTTATAACTTGAAAAGGCTATAACTTAAAAGTTTACTTATTACTTTTATGCTTTAAAATCTGAATTGAAAGCTTTAAAGAAGTTGGAACGCAGGAGTTGTGATTGTGAGATCAGTCAAGAGATTCATTTACTCATTTACTTACTTCTACAGTCCTGTAACTAGTGCTGGTGCCAGTTCAGCTACTATTACACTAATCTACTAGACAGGACTTGAATTATTTAAACTAATTACTAAATTAATGAACTCAGAGCAGGAGTAGGACTCTAGAGAGCTCTAGAGAACCCTAGAGAACCAGCCTAGAGAACTCTAGACAACTCTAGACAACTCTAGACAACTCTAGACAACTCTAGACAACTCTAGACAACTCTAAACAACTCTAGACAACTCTAGAAAACTCTAGACAACTCTAGAGAACAAGAAAGAGCTGGGCCAACATTAGAGAATCAAAAAGGAACTGAGACTGAGCCAATTTTTCAGTTTTAGTCACATTTTTGCCTCAAATTCTCTAAAATATAAACCAAATACATCAAAATACTTCTTATATAGTTCTTTTCACTTTTTTTTACTCCAGTTTTTTGACTGGCACCGAGAAAATGTTTTCAAAAACGATACCAACTAATTTCATCTTAAAAAGTTCTTGAGGTGAAAGTATTGTAGTGAAAGGTGAAAGAAGTCACGAGGAGTGAATGTACGAGAAAATGGAGGAAAGATCAGATGCTTTTGATGCCTTATCCAGAAATCTATGATCTCTTGTTGTTGGAAAGATTAGTGTTGAGGTGAAAAGTTTAGCAGAGTTGATTTGGCAGAGTTCCAGAGGATTCAGCAGTGTTCAAGAGAAGCTAGAGCTTAGCTAGAGCTTAGCTAGAGCTCAGCTAGAGCTTAGCTAGAGTTTGGAAGAGTTCAGCAGTGTTCAAGAGAAGCTAGAGTTCAGTTAGAGCTCAGCTAGAGTTTGCAAGAGTA